ACTCCAGCTTCTTTCAATTCCTTACGAAATAATGTAAGACGTGAGCTGGATGCGACAATTTCTTCATCACTATCATTTTTTGTCTTGATTAAATCTAAAGCATGTAAGTAAATATCATATGGATCTCCAGATTTCGCACAGTATTGAGCTCTCTCTTTGATAGTAAGTTTTTCATTCCTTTTATCCGGTACAAGAGCTTTGATCTGTTCTTCTTTGAATTGACGTCGGCGAAGAGCTTCTTTCACATTTTTACAAGCTTTCCAATCTGGTAACATAGCACCGAGTTCACTAGCATATACACGTAATTGTGATGGATTAGATTCGGTGGACAAGCTATATTTTTCTAGGAACAGGTCCAAAATCGAGGTAAAGTTATTAGTTTTGGGCTTTCGGGTTTTTGAGGCGGTTGCCATGGTCGTATTGATAATATATTGACATACTTATTCTTTCAAATTGAAATTAATTACCCGCCCCTTTGATAATGCTTCGCGGAGTACACAATGCTCTAGATCTCAGGAAATATGACTGCCCCAAATGAGAGATCCGAGTAGACATTCAGTTAAGTGGTCTTGAAACATATGAGTCAGAGACTCTATGCTCTGCATATTTCGCATTTTTAAATGTTTATCCGATTTCCTTGTAATAAAAAGTGAAAGGAAAGCTTAACACACAATAATATCAAGATTACCTCATATGGAACATCGTCTATCCTGCCAATATATCAAGAGTGATGGAACGATCTGTGGGAAAGGATGCTGGCGTAGCACAGGGTGCTCCAGGCATTTTAAATCACGTCCCAAAAAAATTGTGTTCCGTTTGTGACAAGCTAATACTTGGTGAAATTTATAAGCATGTCTGGCGTGAAAGTAAAAAACTGAGATTTGTCTCGACGCAAAGTATCTCAATCCAATCAATTGGCAAAGCTAAACATTGTGTCTTCGACTCTGAGCTCCATTATTTTAAATTTAAATTTTTTTGAATACTCTTATAGAACGACAAAAAAAAAATCTGAACAAAATTATCATATAAGCCAATAAATATTTTTTTCCATGCGGACTACTTCACAACATAATTAGAATTTTCTTGAATTATTTCAATCAAAGTATGAGAATCGGAGCTTGAGCGCTTCTCTTCGATAACAGGATCATCTATTACATCGAAGAGTTCCTGACTGTCTTTGGTTTATATAGCGGAAGCATTGGTGCGCCTTTATCTCCAAAATCAATACTCTTATATGGTTGGCGGTTAATTTGGTATGAATACCCCCTAAACTCGCTGTTCCTTAGGTCGTTTACTTTTTATGGTATAACCACAATAATTACCAACAATTGCTTTAATTGCTTTTATAGCTGATTTAAGATCTGGAATCTCTCTTGTGCGAGACTTAAAGTGAAAGATTGTTTTCGAATTTTTATAAACTTTTCACATGATGCCTCGAATGCAGTTGTGAAGCAACCACTTGTTTTGATAGCTTTCTCATCTGTTTCCTTTAAATCAAATGATTTCTTGCATTGAAAATATGATGAATTCGTTCATTTCATATTAATAATATTAATATTCTGATTCTTGTGCCACATGGCACATGACACGAGCTAATTATATTTTATTACAAATATATATCCTCAATTCGTACTTTTCATAAAAAATCTTTTTTTTCATACATTAGTTTTATCCGAGTGATAATAAACCATCATGTCTAATACTTCTGCAACAACTAACCTGAGACTTAATGACAAAGAGAAACGTAAGTACCATGACTGGATTTGAATATCTTAAATCTACATCACCTGTCTTGCTGTTCGTTATTAATTAACCTTATTAAATGATATCTACAGAAAAGAAGATATTTAAGATACCCAAGTTTTTGAAGTCCATCGGAAAGAAAGCATCAGGTTTTTGTCATTGTTAGTTTGACCAAAACATTCCAGAGTCATTAAATAAATGATTTAATTCTCAAGTAAACACTTAATAATACAGCATCCAATCCGTCCAAAACACTCACATCTACCACGACAGAAATGTCCAACCCATTTGAGACTCTTGAATCCCTTCGCGAGTATGAAAAAAATCCAGGACAATCACAAAAGTTTCTGGGTAAGGCCGAAATTTTCCCTGAACAACATACCAACAATACATATGGCAGTGCTTTTACACTGTTTCTAACTAATTTCTTTGTAGATCGTGTGGGTCAGAACTTTAGATGGCCTGTCTCAATGGATGATTGTGACAAGTACACGGTTTTCTTTTACTTAACTGACTCTGAATTGGAATACGATGATGAATCTGGGCTCAACCTCCTTTTTTTCTTTGACAATATTGATAAAGGCACATTCGATGAACATAAAGACAGCTGGGTGTTGGTGTATAAACAGGAAGTGAAAAAATACGGGACATCAGAATATACAAGTAAAGAGCTAGATGACCTCGAAGATGAAATGCCTGGTGCAATATATTTACCAGTTGATAAATCGCGTCGTGACGGACTTGTGAAATCTCAGCCAGCAAGGACAGTGTGTGCTCTACGTACTAGGAATGAACATATGGTCTGACCTTTGAATAATTATTGTGTTTTAAATCTGTGATAAAATTAGTGCAAAATAGTCAATATGTATTTGTGTTACTTGCTTATTTACAATAAAGGTTAGAATTCAAGTTAGAAGATTAGGAACAACAAATTCTGTTATGCTTGGTTACAATTTTCGTGATCCTGCAGAAAACAATAAGTTGTATAAATCTGTTCTCGATTCAGGTGCACCAGAAACTATCCTTCCTTATCATGTCCGTAGGATATTTGGAAGAAGAGGATGGAAAACTGTCTTAGGTGTTACTATCGGATATGGAGCACCCGCTCGCCTGGTTCATGCATCAACAACATTTGAAGTTGCAATTGGGGATGATAATAGTTGGACTAAGTGGGTGAGTATAGACACACTCCGCGTCTGGGAAAATGATCCTGGTAACCAAGTAGACAGCGCTCTTGTTGGTAACGATGTCCTAGACCAGCTTGCCTTCGTGCATGAGGTAGTGCAAGGATATAAATTTTTAAAAGTTTCAAATGAAGTTGCTTTAACCAATTTCATAGCCAATCTTTCCTAAAATTCTTAGATTTAGTTAGAAGACAAAAAAAATGTTAATGATGTACTTCATAAGGCCAATTGCTTAAATTTCAATACCACAACTTGAAAATATATTAAAAGGAATGTAAAAAGAGCAGTAAATGATGCAAATGATGGAAAACGATAGTGCTAAGTATCCATAAAGTAGCACATCTCCAAAACGAATTATTTCTCATATATATAAAATTGATCTGAAAACATGTGATCTGTTACCATTAAATCCAAAAGGATTGAACCTAATACTAAAGTTTAAAATGAACTAATACAAATTTTTTTATTAAATGATTTAATACTATTTATTACTACATTGATATGCCACAATTGTCATATTTTTGGTATATCCATGAACATTTTATGCAATAAAGATTGAAAAAATAAAACAAAAATCTCGAAATCACTCAACTATCAATTTGGTCAAATCTGTTTTCCAGTAGTTATCTTGATTGCTGAATCCAGTAATTTGTTCCTACACTTGACGTGATAAGTGTTTCTACTATAATAAATTTGTTTATCCCGCTCGCCATATATCGAGTCTTTCTTAAGCCTATTTTTGCACATTGGACATGGCTCCGATTTGATAAACATACGTCCATTTCCTTTGTATTCTCCTGCCAAGCTAAATACAGGAAATGGTCTGTTACTAATTTGATAACCTGATCGTGTTCTTCTTTTGACCATTTTTCAACAGATCATTTGGTTTTAGGTCTGGTTCATACCCTAATTTACACGGAAAATCCCAAACTCAAAAATTAATAATCTATAGGATAGACCACTAAAAAACATCAAAAATTTTGGTGGCCATCAAAGCATTTGGATATCAAAATTTGGTAGTAGTAAACAAGTGGTAGGTAAATAATAGACATAGAAAATACCAATTATGCGAGAAAGGATTCCAGAGCTGAAAAACATAGCACACTTTTTTGGTATTGTACCTCAAATATTTGAATGTGGCCCATTCCAAATTTTTGAAACTCGAAGATGCAGATGACCATGAAATAGTCTAATTTATTAATAATTACATCATTGCAGATTTGCAAACCAGGATGATTTGCATCCAGCTCGGGCATAGCCCTCACAATCGGAACTTCGTGCCTCAGCCTTGGGTGATGAAAGCAATCAAAGGGCCAAAGAAAGCCGAAAACCTCATCGAAAGGAAGCAAATATCAAGCCAATTAGGCACCAAAACGGGCACCCAAAAATGAGTAGGTATCAGTCTAGTCATAAGTATGTAACAATCTAATCATAAGTATGTAACAGTCTAACGTAAGTAGGTAGTAGTATATATATACTACTACCTACTGGAATTATTGTTATAGAAAGATTATATTATTGTTGTGTGGAAGATAATTTTTAAGGTTGAAATAATTATTTGTAGTAATCATTAAGCTTGTGTAATTTACATTTGACAAAAACCGCCTCCTGCCATTAACTAGCTCTTGACTATCGTATCTAAATTTGGCAGTAAGAAATAGTTTTTAAAACTAAAATCACGTGAAGTCCTATTTTTTTGAAAAATTTAAACGAATTACAAAATTGCTATTTTTGGAATTTAGCCACATGGCGCAGCAATAGGAGATCTTTAGACCCGAGCCAACCATAATTAAATAATTACGATAAGCACTACATTTTACCAAAAAAAATTTTTTGAAAAATAAGTTACACCGATTTTGTTTGCTAATAATAACAAGTTTTTAAACGAAAACGTGACAGTGAGCTTCGTGAACCCACGCAATTGTTGATCGGCCAATCAAAATCGTGAATTTTGTTGTTGTCGGCGGAGTTCATTCTAACGCTTTGTAGTTGACCTCAACATATTCGTGTTCTTCTATACGGCACACAGCCACCCCAGTCACCGTATGTGTCCCACTGACTGACTTGATGAACATGGATGACGACAAGATAGACGACATAGCAAATAATCAAAATCAAAGAAATACTATGCAAAAAGCAAGCAAGTCGAAAGGCGAATTAGTTTGTTTTTTATTCATTTATTTATTTATACATCCAGATCAAAGGTCAATTTGATCGATTAGATTTTTTTTCAAGCCTACATCACCATAGAAGATTAAATTTCGGTTGTTAAAAAAATCAACCAAGCTTTTTTTTCCTTAATTAAAAAAAAAAGATCCTTCGCAAAGAAGAACCCCTCATGTGAATCGAAGGCTATTTGCGAATTTCGATTGTTAAAAAAATCAACTTTTTTTTCTTAATTAATCAACGTGTTCATTAATCAATGATTTTATTGTTTTCTCCAAAAGGAAATCAGATCATTCACTATCCTTCAAATGGTCAAAATCCAAAAAAATTGACAACGAAATAAAACGTTTTTGAACCCGGTCTCGTGACCAGAAAATATCATTAATATTAACACGTTGTGTGACGAGCCTTTGACAATCCGAGGTAAAGGTTCCAAGACAAGTTCATCAGTTTTTGGTCATTTTGAACGGTCCGAAACGTCAGAGCAAGACGAAGACCTAACGTTAGACAACAGTTGACTCCACGCAAAATAAAACACCTAAAGCGAAACACGATTTCCTTTCAGTCAAGTATCTGTTTCACTCAATCCTGACGTTTTGAACCAAAACAAATAAGATTTTCAGTTTACAAATCATGACTAACAGATAGCAATTGGGTTTCGCACGATACAGCGACGTAAAAATAACCACAACCATTTATCATTTTTGGAAAACGAAAATATTTCTGTATGTAATATTTACAAATTTCAAATCATTTCAAACCATCGCAGCAAAAAAAAAACGACTCATCACAAATTTTTACCCTTTGATTTTGATCTCTTCCTTCCCCAAAAATTCAGTTGAGAAACAGGACGTTTAGAAGATTCATGATTCGTTACCGTAACTGAAACTGAATCTTCTTTACAACGAATTATTTCCCGTGCAACCAAACATTTCAAAATTGGGTAAAGTCATTAGATTAGGAAACATAAAAAAAAAATATTACACAAAATACGTATAAAAAATTTACACAGAAATTACGACATTTAGTAAGGCACCGGAACACGGCAACCTTTTCTTCTTATATTCTCAAAAAACCATTTTCTCCACTCTATTACAAAGCCAAACTTTATATTTTATAAAACATTTATTTATAATGTCATACAATAAGCAGTTATCATTGTTATCAACAGAAAGAAAGGAATTTGTATTTAAAATTAATAGAGAAATGAGAAATAATGCACTGGTTAATTCTGATAAAGAAAGTAAAAAGGATTATTTTTTTTCATTGGTTGAAAAAAACAAGGAACTTTTCTGAAAATGAAAAAAAATATTGTAAGGAAAGGTTTATTTACAAATTTGAATCTAAAAATGCAAAAAATAAATCAGGAAAACCAAAAGAATGTAACAAGTGCAAATTGACAAGATACTCTGATAAATTCTGTGAAGGTTGTATCAGTTTAAAATTACAAAGTCTTTTCATCACCTGGACATCTGGAAATAACATAATTGACAATTTTATTCAACAATGTCAAATGAAATCATCTCTGCCAAATTATATTTTAGAATGGATACCTTTTGAGCAATTTGAAGATATTACAAAGTTGGCAGAAGGTGGATTTAGTTCAATTTATAGAACTACATGGACAAGAGGAAGAATAAATGATTATGATGAAAATAAAAAGGAGTTTGGTTATTCAGGAAGGCAAAAAGTAGTATTAAAAAGTTTAAATAATTCAAGTAATCCAGGAAAAGGTTTTTTTGATGAGGTTAGTAGTTGTCATTTAAAACAAAAATAAACAATGCTCTATTATACAATATTAATTGATTTTATATTTATTTCAGGCAATGAATTATTGTAAAATTAAATCACCAATGATTGTTAATTGCTATGGTATAACTAAATTCCCAGATAATGGAAATTATGCACTTATTTAAATTATGCAAATGAAGGAAATTTAAGGGATTATTTACAAAAAAATCATTTAAATTTAACATTAAAAGACAGAATTACAATCATTAATAATTCATGTGATGCATTAAATCATATACATGAAAAAGATTTAATTTATTGTGATTTACATAGTGGTAATATACTTGTGCAAGGAGGTGGTTGTTATATTACAGATTTGGGATTATGTGGACCAGTTGATGAAATGTTATCAAATAAAGTCTATGGAATTGTATCATATGTTGCACCCGAACTACTTAGAGGCACAAGTAATGCAAAGAACACAAAGGAAACAGATATTTATAGTGTTGGAATGTTAATGTGGGAAATATTTGCAGGTCATCCACCATTTGACAATAGAGCTCATAATCATCATTTGATTTTTGATATATGCGAAGGTCTACGACCACCAATATTACCTGGAATGCCTGATGATTATGTGCAAATGATGCAGAGGTGTTGGGATGTGGATCCATCTAAAGACCAACTAGTAGAGAACTTCAGGAATTTGCTAGAAACCAACTTAAAGAAATTTATAAAAATAAAAATAATGAAATTCTTGAAAATAAAAGTTTAACAGATAAGAGCTTAAACAATAATAGTTTAATAAAAAGATTATCCAAATTTTCTAAAATTAAAAACCATGAAATTGATTTTAATGATGATGGTAACAGCAGTATTGGTGGTGGTAATAGTGTTTTGCAACAAGTACATGAATCACATCCAGATGCATATCACACAAGTAGAATATTAGATGAAGAGATTGCTAAATCTAAAAGATTAAAAAGTTATACAAGTAATGATGGCTCATTAAATAATTTTGATTTTAGCTCTCTTCTCTTAAATGTTGAAGGTGAATAAAAATTTCATTATTAATTGGAAATTAATATCCATTTCTAACAATATTTTTAATTAATTAATAACATTAGATTCTAGGATTGATGAATGACTGATTTAATCTCCTATTATAAATTATTTATTCATTATATTTTTTATTTTATCTTTATTTTATTTCTTAAAGCTAAATTATTATAATCATAAACTTTTTTCAGTTTTTAATTCTTGTTAAATGGTGTAGTGTGAGATCAAAATCCGCGTCTCACACAAATCTCTTGATTTTTATTTATGATGACATGCCGATACAATTTTCCCATTTATTTATACTAAATCGTAATAACAATTTCCGCGAATGTATATTTATGCTTTACTCTCAAAACTATCTTTTACTAT